TATATATATATTGTTTTTTTTGAGTTTTTTCTTTTTATGAAATTTTGATTTTTTTTTAAAGGAAGGAATTCTAAATAAGGAAGAAACTATTTAGGATTTTGATTTGAATTTTTTTTTCTTTTTTTTATCAAATGAAAGACTTCGAAAAAGAAGGAAAATATTTTTGGATTTTATAAGGAAAGAATTCTAAAGATGGAATTAAGGAAAGGGAAAAATATTTTTGAATTCCTTTTTTGAAAATTGGGATCGGAACCGATGAGGTTTGCCTACGTATCTCACATCCGCTGAGAATCAGACCCGCGTAGTTCGGTCAGGTTTGACGGAACAGGAGAATCATGACTTTTGAAAATATTTGCTTATTTTTTTATTTTTTTTTCAAACTTTCGGCAGAGTTTTTGAATTTTTCAAATATTTACCTTTCACTCTTATTTTTTTTTTCCCAATTTTTTTTTTGATTTTCTTTCCCTATTCTAGAAACCGGTCAACATGCAAGCCGAAATAAATATATGCACAAGTAGCACGTAAAAATGCATCAGGATGGTCTTTTATATTGGGTACACCTGTCCTAGACGGACCCAACCCCTGTGTTGAGTCCCCAAAGTCAAATGCACGTGATGCAAACAAACGTTCCTACTACGGATCCGGCATGAGGGTATGTTATTCTAGGTTTAAATCCTCGGTGTGTTGTTCTAGACCTTGCTTACCTAAGCGGACAACGTATCGGGAATACAGAAGCTTCACCGGCTTTGCAACTTGTCCGATCCTCGTTCTAAAATTAGGGGTATGACTCTAACAGAAAAGAAGCCACACGAAGCACACGCTTCCCAAAAGATTTAGAAGACTTAGAGAGAAGAAGAGTGTCGTAACAATTTTATATACAGTTCAAGCAATATCAAAGCGGCATTTAGTACATTATGCTCAAACACGTAAAAATCAGATGATAAATAAAAGCTAAGTATAATAACTATTCTAAGCTCGGATTCTGAATCCTGAACCAGAGATTCTGGGTTCTTATCCCCAGCAGAGTCGCCAGAGCTGTCACACCTCCTTTATCCCAAGGAGATAGGGGATAAAGAGTTTTTCCAATTAAAGTGATATTATTCGAAATGGGATTATTTATTTTATTCAGAGTCGCCACTTGGAATAATTTATGGTGTCCCAAGTCACCGATTTATTTTAGAATCCCAAATCGAGAAAAATTGACTCTTATTTATGATCTGCGAATACAGAAGACCAGGTAAGGAATTCTGTTAATCCGAGAGAAGGTGTGAGGAACTCCCGAGTTCCGCGGTTTTAGCACGGTTGCTCAACTATTAATAATTGGCCTAGTTATCTGATTTAATACATATTTTAAACCTATATGTGCATTTTTATTTCTTTTACCACTTTTATTACATTACTGCATTTTAAAATTTTATGGAATTAATATGAAACGAGTTACGTTGTCGTACACTCGTTGTTTATACACATCGCAAATCGCGTCACGTGAAATGTACCTGCAATCTACAACGTGTTTAATTTTATTTATTATTGTTTGAAGTTGTAGTCGAGTCACGTGAAACGCACACTCGAATTGGGGATTACGTGTCGTGACCATGCTACGGGAACCGTACCCATAGTCACGATGATTTATTAATCGCGCCTAAAGCAAGCTACAAATGTATAATTAATTTATTTTTTCCTAAAGTTTGAGATTATTGTGAAGGTCATAGGTTATGAAAATTATTGTAGAAAAATGCGAGATTTGGCTTTTATGAATTACTAACAAAATCAATTGTATTGCTAAACGATTAGAGATATCTATGACTAAACAAATTACTAACATTCTATCTTGAAATCATTCAACGTTTTGGGCCTATTAGTAGGAATTATGTTTGGCCCATTTCTTTTACAAGACAATAACAACCAAGGCTCAATTATGGTGATAAGCTTCAACCAAAGCTAACAATCCTTCTAACTTTTAATTTCCAACTTTACATATTAGTTTAAGCTCAAATAAAGGGCAATCCAGTGAGATGAAAAATACCCTTCTACTTTTGTTAATCAATGATATTTGCTCAATTAATAATAGATTGTCTTGTTCACTCAAAATAATTAACCTCAACATAATTATTAAGACAAGATGCATCCATCCAATAATCAAACAATCGACATATTCATAGAAAACATGCCAAACAAAACCTCACATACATATAAAATTAAAAGGAATTAATAGATGGGGGAAGAATTTGGACCTTTATTGCTGCATATTTTTTGCCATGTACAATAAAATAAGATCTCTAAAATAGCAAACCGAAGTGAATGAGCTATTGACCAGAACCTCGAACCGGAAAACTCGAACACTCCCTCACTTTGGCAATGATTTCGGAATTGATTTTGCACTTATTTTGAAGCTGTATTCTGGGGTATTTTGGAGTGAGTTTACAACAGGTTTTGTTAAGTTTTTTTTTTTTTTGAAAAGAGCTAATTTTCGTCACTGTTTTCAGCTGGTTTTGTGTGAGGTTTTCGGAGCTAAAATGAGGTGTTTCGAAGGTACTTTTAATGGTGCTTTTTGGAGGTGGTTCAGCTGGATTTAGTGACTGTTTCTGAAGCTATTTTCGCAGTTGTTTTAGGTGAGATTTTGGGGCTGATTTAGAGCTGAAATTTGGGTGGTGTTTTGCAGCTGTGTTTGCTGCGTTTTCCAGCTGATTTCAGCAACTTTTAGCTCGTGTTTGGGGGCTGGTTTAGGTGATGAATTGCTGGATTTTTCGAAAGAAAGCCGAAGAAAGAATGACACGAGTAGAAATTCCCTTATGCTAGAAGAAGAAAAATAAATTTCTCTCAATTCCCTCCTCCCTCTTTTTTTTCTCCTTCTCCCTCTTTCTTTTTTCCTCACATTTCTCTTCTATTTTTTTTTCGGAATTTTCAGATTTTTTTTAATTATTTTTTATTTTTCAATTAAAAAGAATTTCTACTTCCCATTTTTTTTATTTTAAAAAAAAAATAATTCCCCACTTTCTTTTACTTTTATTTTTTAATTTCTCACTTTTTTTTATTTTAATATATTTAAAATCCACTTTTTTTACTTTTCTTTTTTTATTTCCCACTTATTGTACTTTTCTTTTTTTAAATTTTCACTTACTTTTACTTTTATTAAAAAAAAACAGATACCCTAACTTTTATTTTTTAATTTTAACTTTATTTTACTTTTTATTTTTTTAAATTTTCACATTCTTTTACTTTTAATTTTTTAATTTTCTACTTTTTTTTAAAACAATTTCTAACTACTTTGACTTTTACTTTTTAATTATATATTTCCCCTTTTACTATTCTTTTAATTCCCATCCGCAAATTTTTAAAAAATAAAATAATAATAATTAATTTTTATTTATTTTCTATTTTTTAATTCATTTTATTTTAAAATGAAGAAAAAAAAGTAAAAATAAAAATAATCCTAATATTAATAATTGACTTTTTAAATTATTATTAATTTTTACCCTATATAAAAAACTGTAACAAAGCTAAAAAATATATATTAAATTTCTGAAAATATTTACATAGTAGAAGGTAATAAAAATTCAAATATAGTCAAAAATTAAGTGATCACATGTAACACATGCCTAGTTGAGCACATTGCAGCGAAATCTATATTATAAGGAATTATCATGAAATGATAAGTTTTATGCTGGTTATCAACTACCGCTCTTATTTATTTGGACTTGAATCCGGCAATGTGAACAAACTCAAAAAAAACAGGTAGTTATATAAATCAATAATCTTTACTATGATATATAATATATTGAATAAGGTAAAAATTTAGTAATTAAAAGAATATAAAAGAATGACGTGCAAATTAAAATTGATGCAATAGGACTGCAAATTGCGCAAAAACTCTTCTAGGCCTTACTTGGCTAAAGAGCAAAGCTTCTCTGTCCTACGGACTGCAGCAGCGAGATGAGAAGTGTCAACGCTCTCAGAAGCTCCAAGGTTTATTCACTCTCACTCCGCCATTTCTCTACACTTACTATCTCCAAATCCAAAAAATCTGCCCCTTCTCCTCCTCCCACACTTCCCATCACTGCGGATACGCTACGAGATTCAATCACTTCTTCTCAGTGGCAATTCATCAAACACATTTCAGGCGAACTAAAACCCACCTTAATTTCAAACGCCCTTCCTAACCTTCGTTCATCTCCGGACCGTGTACTCACTTTCATCGAAAATATCAGCCCCAATTGCTTAGACATTACCTGTTATAGCCTCGCTATTTCCATACTCTCTCGTCTCCCCTCGCCTAAACAAGCCACACACCTTCTCAAGCGAGTGATCAGTGCACGCGTCGCAACGCATAAGGAGTTTTTTGATGGACTTGTGAGTGCTCGGGAGAAGCTGGAAATAAAGAGCTCAATTGTGTTGGATTTGCTTGTAAGGGCGTATTGTGAATTGAAGAAAGGCGAGGAGGCGTTAAAGTGCTTTTATTTAATGAAACAGAAGGGAATTTTGCCCAAGATTGAAACTTGTAATGATTTATTGAGTCTTTTTAATAAATTGAATATGACCCATTTATCCTGGATTGTGTATGCTGAAATGTTTAGGATGAAGATTAGTTCGACTGTATGTACGTTTAATATAATAATCAATGTTCTATGTAAAGAAGGCAAGTTGAAGAAGGCAAAGGAGTTCATTGAAAACATGCAGTGTTTAGGGGTTAAGCCGAATTTAATATCGTATAATACTGTGATTCATGGTTATTGTTCGAAGGGGGATGTTGAAGGAGCAAATAAGTTTTTCGAGACGATGACAGTAAAAGGAATTGAGCCTGATTCGTATACGTTTAATTCTCTAATCAGTGGGATGGTGAAGGAAGGGAGGGAAAAGGAGATGTCTTCATTGTTAGAGAAAATGAAGTCGTTCGGGTTGACCCCTACAGCTGTGACTTACAATACTCTGATAGATTCATGCTGCAATAAAGGGGACTTTGAAAAGGCATTCTTTTATAGGGATGAGATGGTTAAGATTGGGGTTGTGCCGAGTGTTACTACCTATAACTTGTTGATCCATGCATTGTTTCTTGATGGCAGAATGGCGGAAACTGATGATTTGGTGAAAGAGATGGCAGAGAAGAGAGTACTCCATGATGGTATTACGTATAACATATTGATCAATGGCTATTGCAGGGCGGGGAATGCAAAGAAGGCATTTAAGTTCTATGATGAAATGTTGAGTAGGGGTCTTCAACCAACGATTGTCACTTATACATCACTTATCAAAGTCTTGGGCAAAAGGAATCGGATGAAAGAAGCAGATGATTTGGTTGTTGAAATATTGCGGAAAGGGATATTCCCAGATCTAATTATGTTCAATGCATTGATTGATGGCCATTGTGCCAGTGGTAACGTTGTGCGTGCTTTTGATATACTGAAGGAGATGAATAAAATGAACATTCAGCCTGATGAAGTTACCTACAATTGTCTGATGCAAGGGTATTGTAAAGAGAGTAAAGTTGAAGAAGCTTGTGCTCTTCTCGAGGAGATGAAGGGAAGAGGAATTAAACCTGATCATATCAGCTATAACACTCTAATCAGTGGGTATAGTAAGAGAGGTGACATGGATGATGCATTCAAAGTTCGTGATGCCATGTTAAGTGCAGGTTTTAACCCTACTCTTCTCACTTACAATGCTCTCATACAAGGTTTATGCAAAAAACAGGAAGGTGTACTTGCTGAGGAACTTCTCAAAGAAATGGTTAGTAAAGGCATTACCCCTGATGATAGCACTTATCTTGCTCTGATTGAAGGGATTGGTGACGTTGATAGTTTCTTGGGGAGAAAAGATCCATCATAAGGTAACTTGTCAGGTTCCTGTTTGCAGCTGACAACTCCTTGGCGATTCTTCGGATAAAACTGACTTGATTGATTTGGAGTACTTGCTGGAACTGAAACGTCCACACAGTTCATCCTTCCCTAGTTGCTTGCATTTTCACATTTTTCTCATCAGATTGACATGACAGTCCAACTACATAGCCAGACATGCTCTGCTTCATCGCCCCTTAGTGTTTGGCCAGAAAGGGACCATCTCGGTGTACCCATGTGTATTTTGCAAATATTTTACTCGTGGATATAGCCCACAGGCCAGAGCTACTTCTCTGTATTGATGATGGAACGCCATTTCATCGTCCTCCTGAAGAAAAACTGAGTGTTGGGGGAAAACCATGAAGCTTTCCTTATTACAGAAAAGGGAAAAAGCTTCCAGAATAAATGGTCCAGACCTGTCAAATGAAGAGGACAGGAAATGTGATAATTATTTTGTTTTAAGATCAGCAGCTGAGTTTCTGGAGCTGTGAAAATATTTATATCAGGATTTCTTGAAGCAATAATTTTTATCTCAAATTTGTTTGCCAATGAGTTAAATGTACTTGAATGGACTTTAGACTAGGTTTTCACTCTGTGTGAGTGCTGTTTCTATAACATATTCACAGATGTTGAAGAGCAGTGGAGGTATGTATAGTAAACGAGGTTAGAGAATGGGCTCTGCTAGTTGCATGCACTGTAAGTTTCAAGCTGATATTGGCTTGTAAAGTATTGTACATCAGTAGCTATCTTACATTGGCCAATTGATTCACAATTTTCAGAGCTAGCTGATATTACTTGATGAGCCCCAATCATTGTTTTGCTTTTGCAGTCTCCAATCTTCAACATATTTGTCTATATTATACTCATAACTTGGTTGAAGTTCTTTTTCTTTCTCTCATTGTCCGGGTAAGTAGGGCTGCTTAATTGGGCTTAATTTCTGAAAATACATCATATATCTATCTGCAGTTTGTACAAGCTGAGTCGCTGGTTACACCTCAACTGTTTACTCTGTTTATGTTTCTCCGACATATGTGCTAGATGCTGTGAATGATAAGCTCTTCTCATTTAAATGTTTTAAATGCAATAGGCTATGACCTACTTGCCGGATTAGCTGGTTTCAAGAATACCACAGAATCGGGGTGTTGCTTAGGTCTGGTTATATGTAATATCGGTAAGTTAAGTATGTAGCCTATAAGTTTACCACATCTTCACCTTTTACATCCTTCGTAAAATCTACTTTTTCTTTTGGTCTTCTCTGTCACTGGTGAAGAATATTGTAGTTTTGAACTTTGCAGTCTGGGAAACAGTTTTTCCACATCTTCAGTAAAGAAAACTTGGAAGCTCTTTAACCTTACTCTCCAATTTCATGTTTAATGAATGGTAAATATCCCAAGAAATTGTTGTCTCTGGAACAAGGGGGAACTGCTGTCACAGTTAGTAGTAAAGGATATAGCATTATCTACTACATGCTAGTGGGATAATATCCTTTCTATGTTTACTCACAGAAACACACCTTTTTGGCTTCAACTTACTGAGGCTTTATTTTCATGCAAAACTACATGTGGGATAACAGTTACTTGTGGAAATACATGCTAGCTATTTCAGTGCTAGTCCAGGGTAGCAGTAAGCACTAGTCCTCGCTTCTGAACCATTTGCAATTTGCTAATGGTTGCTGGCAACCGAAGGTGAAGCCATGGAACTGTTTGAGGAGTGCAATTCTTATAAGCTTGTTAGTTGAATCAATGTATGGGTGGTGGTCTCGCGGGCTTTGCTTCTTGGAAGCATCATATTCTACTGATTGTTACACTCACTTACAATCTCACTATCGATTCCCTTCCTTTTTCTTTGACACCTGAGTTGTCTTGACCGATAAAAAATAATTTCATTTTCATCAGATGACAGATAAGCACAAAGCTATTCGAGTCTTTGAGACTTTTGCACGCAAAGGTGGTATTTAAGCCATACTAATCTAAAAGGATCGACACTATGCAGGAGAAACATCCTTGTAACCTTTTGTGTAATTACTATTCGACAACCTTGGATTCCAGATTTGGGCCTGCCTTACTAACTAGACTACCTAACTATAAATCNAGTCACCCCAAGAGCAAGGTGGGGAGTTCTTGGAGGGAGGAAGCCGAGGGTCTATCGGAAACAGTCTCTCTACCCTAGGGTAGGGGTAAGACCTGCGTACACACTGCCCTCCCCATACTCCACTAGTGGGATTATAATGATTTGTTGTTGTTGTTGTTGTATATACTGGTATAGAGTTTGTTTTGGGGTGGGGTGGGGGTGGTGGCGAATATGGTACTTAGAATTTAAGATCAAAGTGCTCTACCTAAGGTGTGACTTAGCATTACTATTATTATTTTTATCGACAGCACATGTGCTGCGTTTTTATATTGGGCGTATTGTAACCCACTGAAAATATACATAAGTAATCAGTATTTGGCAAGTTGTCTTTGTTGGCCGACGGTCGACGTTACTCAAGAAAGTCAGTTGCTTCCCGGCCAAACTTTATCTTAAGAAAAGGGCAAATGAATCCCAAAAAAAAAGGTCATAAAGGCATCCAAAGGGGGCAATTACGTAGTTTGGAAGCCCCCTTCTTTTGACCAAATAGTCTAACTCTTGCTCAATAGAGTGAAAGCTGTATACATGGCACAAGAATAGCAGAATCAATAGAATCTTAGGTTTCAAAGTTGTTTTTGTCTCGAGATCCAGGAAATACTATAAAAAAGTTCACTTCTTTTAACCTCATCTCTACTCCAATGGGTCTCCTTTTCTCTTTTTGGGGCCTGAAATGAGCTATATGTTAAGACTAATCTGATAGAACTTCTGACCACCAACTGCAGTCCCTTTAGCAGAGCTTTGCTTAACCCATGACTCGATTCTCGTCAAGAAGCAGATGCTCATACCCTTTACTGGTTTGTAGCTTGGTGGGGTTCTTTATTCTGCTTCATTTCTCATCCTTGGGTAGTTACAGAGGTTCTCAAGATGGGCAGATCCGAGAAGGGACGAATACAAATCTTCAGCCCTTTATTCATGGATATGAAGAGTTGGAGGAGATCAAAATTCCTCAGCAAAGAGGAAGCCAATCTTCAGAAGCCAATGTCCTAATTGATGAATTCCTTGATAAGTCTTCTAAACTCAGGCACAATTTCTTTCCTGACCGGAGAACTAGCATAGACCCTCGAAAGAATACTGAAGATGACAGCTTTTACTATTATCCCGGGAGAATATGGCTAGATACTGATGGACATCCTATTCAAGCTCATGGTGGTGGAATTCTTTATGATAAAAGATCAAGAATGTACTATTGGTATGGCGAGTACAAGAATGGTCCTACTTATCGAGCCCCTGGGAAGAATGTAGCTCGAGTAGACATAATTGGTGTTGGCTGCTACTCTTCTAAAGATTTATGGACTTGGAAGAATGAGGGTATTGTATTAGCCGCGGAGGAAATGGATGAGGCTCATGACCTTCACAAGTCTAAAGTGTTAGAGAGGCCTAAAGTGATATACAATGAGAAGACAGGTAAATATGTAATGTGGATGCATATTGATTATGCTAACTATACCAAAGCCTCTGTTGGCATTGCTATAAGCAATTCCCCTACTGGTCCTTTTCGATATCTATATAGTAAAAGGCCTCATGGTTTTGAAAGCAGGGACATGACTCTGTTCAAAGATGATGATGGAAAGGCATATGTCATTTACTCCTCTGTTCACAACAAGGAGCTTCATATTGGTCTTCTTGATCAAGATTATGTTGATGTTACTAATGTTATGTCAAGGGTTCTTGTAGGACAGTATAGGGAGGCTCCGGCTTTGTTCAAGCACAAAGGAACTTACTACATGATCACATCAGGGTGCAGTGGTTGGGCACCAAATGAGGCGCTGACTCATGTGGCTGAATCAATTATGGGACCATGGGTGACTATAGGCAACCCATGTATAGGTGCAAACAAAGTTTTTCAAGTCACTACATTCTTTGCTCAGAGCACATATGTGCTCCCTATTTCTCCTGGTTCGTTTATTTTCATGGCTGATCGATGGAATCCAGACGACTTGGGTGAGTCTAGGTATGTATGGCTTCCTTTAACTGTGGAGGAAGAAGCTAGCAGTTGGCGACAAAGAGTATCTATCTTTTGGCATAAAAGATGGAAGCTTCTTAAAAGTCTAGCTTAGAAGTCTGCTCATAGTTTTCTTATGAAGCAAACCATTCTCATCATATGAAGTATTTACAATGTGAAGTGATACAAGTTGTTAATTAGAATAACTTGTTCCCTTGTTGGAACTAGCATTACATACAGCTTTAAGCCATATATATCAAGATGTATGATTGCAGCTTCTTATGTCTTGTTAAGCAACTATCATTAGGAGATACATTATTTTAGGGACAAAGGCAACCAAAATTAAAACCCCCACCTAATTGCAATTGGTAAACTTTTGAAAATGATTTTGTACAATTTTCCTCATTCTTAAAGGAAGAGTAGAGTTTCATCCCATAGCAAGGAATTCAATTCCATTCTTATAATGAGTTAGCTATCCAGATATATGGTATTCTGAATATGGTCCACAGCCCCATACGCAAAATCTTTCAAACAACACAGATAACACTTAAAAAAGAAATGATTGTACATTAAGAGGGTCAAAGTTTCTAGAGGGAACCCATAGTTTATTAGTTTAACTTATATATATTTCCAAAACAAATCAAATTCTACATCAAAACAGAGAATTAAACAGATAAAACAGAGAGTGAATCTTAATGCAGGAAAAAGAAATTGTTAAACAGACCAAAGTTTCAATCAGCTTCCTCTACAGTAGCTTCAATCCGGAGGAGGACAAAACCAACAGCAACTCCAACAAGAACCAAGCCAGGAATGATGGAAGCAATCCTGAAAATCTCACCAGCAACACTGCAGGTTGAAGACAGAGCTCCACCTTTGGCTTGTGATGGAGTTTTCAATGAGCTAACAATCTTTGCAAAAGACTGCTCAGTGCACATAGGAAGGCCTAATGAGGCAACATTGTTATTTGCCTTTAGTCCTCCAAATGAGTTCAATCCACTAATGTAATTCACTTTGGTTCTTTTCTGGGAAGACATCCTTGTACCTAGAATGGCTGGTGAACTTACTGTTGCTGCAGAGAATGTTGTCATTGTTGCCATTGTTTTCTGACCCCCAACCTACACAAAACAAGTGAAGTTGTTAACAAAGTTTATACAAAATCTTGGAAAAGGAAGAACTAAAGATTGGGTTTTTACCTGGTTGTGATGGCTTGTGGAGTGCTCTAAGTTTGCCAAAGTAGAGAGATAATAAAAGGGTGAACATTGGATATTGTTTTTTGTGAGGTGAATATGAGAGCAATGGATAAGGGGGGGTGTTGAGATGGTTGGCTGACAAGGATAATTGGATGAGGCATCTTATAGCTCACGAACTTGTAAAACTGGCCAGGAAATTGTGTGGGGTGTGGACCTTTTGTCCAAATTTAGATAAAGAAGAAGCATAATTGACTTCTTTGTCCTTTCTTTTCCTTTTAAAGAAATTAGTTCAAATTACAATTTTTTGGATATTGGATTGGTTAATGTTATTTTCCTAGCTTACGAATACATTTCTCCTTAGTTTGTAGCAATTTCAAAATTTCGGCACCTGAAAATGTTAATTCAAAGGGGAGTCTTTTATTTCATGTTTTTATGGATGATGTAACATTTTCTGACCTCAAAATATTTGGGCAGGTAGACGAAATTTACTCTTTTTTAATTATTGGGTATTTTTTTTTTAATTTATGCGGAAAACGTAATGTAGTTCATCATCATTCTTGAAAAAATTGAAAATACTTGTAATGACCAGCTCATTTTTGCCCTTTGGTCTAAGATTAAGGATGTTCATTGTCTGATTTAAAATGTAAAGGGGTATTATTTTTCAAACCTTAAAGGTTAAGGGGGTTAAGAGAAATTACTCTAACATTCCAAAGCAAAATTGTTATAGAATGTCTCAAAAGCTGAAGAATGATGAATTAAACAACTCATAAATGATATAAGCATTTTGACCAAACTTTGCCCACATGAGCATTTCCAACATAAGTAAATCAACCAGAACTTAGTCTTAACGCCAGTCAACTGGCTTAAATGCCAAAGCTATTAATACAAACTATAACAACCTTCAAATTTTGTCAACAGAATGCAGTACTTAACAAACTAGTATAGAAGTCTTCAAAACTAGTCATCAATAAATAATACTGTAGTACTTAAGGCCATACAAACTGAAATGCTATTTGACAGGATTGGAAACTCCTCCTGCTTTGACAAGAGTAACCTGTAAATAAAGGACTTCATTGGCTTTTCCTCTCATAAACTCACAGATGCATCTGTCTTCTTTTTCAACAAGATTCCATCTGCATATTTTGCGCCATCCTTTTTTGAGCCATATCCTACCATCCTTCCAAATATTGACCTCTGTTTCAAATTTTCTCCCCTCAGAATCACGAAAGAACATTTTTGGAGGAAGTTCAAGGTTGTAGTCTCTCACCACATCAACTGGGACGTACTGCAATTTGAAACAAAGACTTGTTTAATGAGAATGATATAAGGTTGTCCTATAAAATTGTTTCACCGGAACAGTTGTAATGCTTTAAATTACCAGTTGATCTCTTCTTTTTGCTCGTATTTTCGCAACAAAGTAAGGATTTTTAGGCTGAGTCGCACGTCCACTTCTGAAAATCTCCGCACCATATTGGTCAGGGACATCCCTCCTCTTGATAGTAGTGGCTCTTTTGAATACACCTAAATCAAGAAAGCTAATTGGTCAGTTTCACAAACAGAAATGTCAAGGATAGCTTTCTCATGGCTAGTTTTATGGACATGGGGAGAGCAGGTGTAGGAGAGGTGGTAAGAGACTCTAATGGAGATCTCCTCATGGCTTTCTCAATATCTGTTCAATGCAAAAGCAACAACGAGGCAGAAGCTGTAGCAGCTAAAATTGGCGGTGAATGCTGTATACAACTAGGCTACACTAGATTTCATATAGAGCTTGATTCTCTGATTGTGGCCAACATGATTACAAAAGGATGTACCAAAAATGTAAAGATGAATCAGATCATCAGAGATGCCAAAAGAAGTATCAACCAAGCAGAAGTTGTGGTCTCTCACTGCTATAGAGAAGCCAATCAGGTGGCTGACGCTTTAGCCAAAAGAGCTGCAATCTCTGGCAACAACTCCTATTTCTACAATTTTCAGAATCTCCCGAAAGAAGCTAGAGGTCCTTTCCTACTAGATAAATGGCAATTGCCTAGTATAAGAAGTAGATATGACAAAAATAATTTTTTTGTAAGCTAATTCAGTTAGTTTTTCTCATGGAAGTGTAGTAGTAAATTTCTCCATCTTCCATGGGTTTTTTGAAGACTGTCTTTGCAACATTCTTGGGTACATGGAAGGTCAGGTCTATGCCCCCCTTCTTTTGTCATCTTTACATTCTATATACATGGTAGGGGTCAAGCCAAACCCCACAACACCCGGGAACCTTTCCCTGGGCGATGGCTTAAAATTTAAAAAAAAAAAAAAATGTCAAGGATAGAAGGTTATTCACGGAAAACTTAGAGATAATCCAATTCATTTTATTTTTATACGGCTGCATTTGATTGAATATGGAGTTTAAGAAAGAAAGAAGACAAAAGTATCATTAGGCTTGTTCAATTACAAAGACTATGAAAATAATCCACTGATACAAAATTTGATATTATTTTACTGTTCGTTTGGTAATATCAATGTAAATAACTTAAACTCCGATAATGTACTAACAAGAAAAGAATTGAATTGCATATAAAATGAAAAAGAGGAATGGATATAGAGGGTCTTTAATTGTGTCTACCTTTTGAACATAGCGCCTTTTTCTTTAACATTCTTGCCTTTTCATTATTTTTTTCTTCCTCCTCAGTTTCTTCCTCATCTTCTTCATATTCCTCCTCCTCATCCTCATCATCATCTTCTTTTTCCTCTTCCACGTAACTACCTTTTGAACATGGCGCTTTTTTCTTGCATATTACTATTGCCTTTCCATTTGTTTCTTCTTCATATTCCTCTTCCTCGTCTTCTTGTTCTTCTTCTACCATGTATTCCTCATCCTCATCTCCATAAGAAGAAGAACTAGAACTAATGCTATCACTGGCCAAATATTTCTTCCCTTTTGGCTTTTCACTCTTTCGATGTGCAATATTGATCATTTCTTCCTCCTCCACTTTCACCGCCACTCCAGCTCCTTTCTTTTCACATGCAGTTTTTCCAAGTAATTTGAAATCAAATACACCACTCCCATCGTAGTCAAAAATCAAAAAATCTCCAAACTCCAAACTATTGTCCTCAATGAATTTCACCCATCCATCTTGGAAATAAAGGTCTCGGCCTTTTTTTGCCAGTTCAATTGGCCATACATTCCCAAATCGATCCCTAAGGGAAATCCTTTTAGGTAGCTTCCCATTCTTGTACTCCGTAAAAGCCGTGGGGATTTTCTGTATATTAAAAAAAATCTTCATTTTTACAAAAATAATACTGTAGTAGAACATTATCAAATTCTTAAGATCAGATTGTTCATATCATACATAAAAGCAACCAATATTAGGCGGAAAAATATTTCAAGTAAACTCAAGTTTGAAATTATTGAGGTAATAAATCTAGTATTTCAGATATTAAAATTTAGTAATTAAATAACAAATTAAATCAGAGGCGCTCTGTGGTTTTACTGCAAAGTAACTTTCTTAAGACTCATATATATGGTCATTTGCAACTGCAATCAGCAACTTATGACATTTAGTGACTGAATTTAATGTAACATTGCAAATCTTCTGACTAGCTGTGAGATCTATTACGTAGTCCAATCATATACTAAGGTTAAACTCCAAAATGATGATTTAGGAGAGGGGTTACTGAACTGGTTTAATTATAAAATACTCTAAAATTAACTTAGTTTTAAGAAAAATATAATAAGTGATACTAAAGTTACAGCTTTGTAACTCTATTCGTATCCAGTGCTAATTTACATCTTACTCACAGAGACGGATCTATCGTGTAAGCTATAGGTTCATGTGAACTCAATAGTTTAAGTTCAAATCATGTATATTTGTTACAAAACTCACTAAATAAGTACAATAAATAATAAATCTTGAACCCAATAAATTAAATCTGCGATAGAATCACGAAGCTGAAATCATACATTTCAAATCCTGAACACGTCTTTTTACTCTTTTTACTTCCCCTTCCCCCTATTAACGGCCCACATCCACAAAAAGATTTCTTGAAAAAAGGGGCAAAAACCCTTGATCAAATACTTGAAAAATAGAAGGGAGGAAAAACGATGAGAAGGAAGTACAGTTACCAGCTTCTGGGAGCTGTTCTCTGGGTAGAAGAATTTGAAGAAGCCCTTTTCCATCTTCTTAGCATCATCCATCTCACCCTCCTCTTTCTTTTCTCTATAGAACAAAATTGCTTTTTTCTTCTTTTTTTTTTTTTTTTCAAAGTTTACTTTAACCTTGTAACTAGGCTAGAAAACTGAAACCGTGTGGACAACTAAAGATTTATGTAATCTGAATTGTGATTACATAAAGTTTAAGGCATTTTATCAAGCAATAAATGTAGAAAATGATATCAATTGAGAAATGCGAGGAATTATTGCGTATGAGCTGGGATTTTCCCATTTTGGATTTGAAGAATTCAGCTAGTTTTTTCCTGCAGCATTGCAAAAAAAGGGAACTCCATTATTTTACTCACTGTATTGCAATAATTCAGTCAGTGCCAATCCTTTTCACGTTAGTAATTCAAGATGTGTAACAAGTAACTATCATCTTTTGCAATTAGTGAAAACTCTGTTTATCTTTTATCAGTTTATAGGAAAACATGGTAGGTGGATTACATTCGTAGCGAGATTCCTTTTTGGCAATTATCCTCAAAAAAGACTCACCCATTAAAAGAAGGAAAAAAGAGCACATTTGCGTCTGACTTTATCTTTGACTAAAATACCTTCCGAAATTATTCCTTTTCAAAAATTACTTCGAAACTCAATGAGAATTGAGGGTTTTAACCATTCGTTTAAAGGAGCTTTTATTCACATTTGCGATTCAGAATTTTATAAAGAAGTCTAGTTATTAAATGTTTTAGGAGCTGATAATTTATAAGTTAAAAGCTGAAGTATCCGCAAATCACAGGGATTAGTCGTCCTGAATTAGATAAGTGCTTGACCAGAAGAATTGTGCGAAATAAGTGAATATATCAGACTTGAGACATTCTTGATTGACTTAAACAAAATGATTACCTCAATACAACTTAACTCCGTCAAGTTTGTACGAGTAGTGAAGAAGTATAGAGAACCTTGGTTGGTTGTTGACTAATGGAAAGCATGAGAGAAAAAAGATGCAAAAACAAAAAGGGGCAGAAAGAACATCAAGAAAATAACCTCTGCATTTCATTATGGACATGTTAGCAGATAGATTTACAAGGCTCCAATTGGAAAAAAGAGAAAGAAGACAATGAAACAGAAATCACCGATAGAGAGTATTTGTTCAGATAGCTACAAGTGTGTCAATTTGTTGATTTTTCTTACGTGTAGCACGAAATATATGCACCTTCAACATAAGTTCATCAGCCTGAATGTCGTTGATCAACTCAAAGACACAAGTATCTCCTACAAGTAAATCATTATCTCTAACAAATTTCACCCATCCTTTGCTTAGAAACATTAACGTTTTCCTCCTAACCCAATGCGTATTCCACTTATTGCCATCAGAATCTTGAAGTTCAACTGGTACTGAAGTCTTTGGCATATAATCTCGAACAAATTCAGGTGGTATATACTGCAGAATAGGACAAATTGCAAAGTAAGAACATATTGAGATGTAAAGCAGTTTACGGCGAAAAAAGTGAGACCTTTAGTTTAATGTATAGGTAGAAAGGCTCACCAGAATATAGTTCCGTACTATATTATATACTCCAAGAATCGTCATGAAGTAAGGATTTGCTGGCATTAACATTTTGGCAGCATTAGTGGCCATGTTTGCTTCTGCAGCCCTTGGTCGCCCTCTTTTGCGAGGATTATAAGGCTTTCCCCGCCCTACAGATTTCTCCTGTTGCTGGCCGGTGAATGATTTCTTTGTATCTGCAATTCATCAAATTAATTCTCAATGTGATACGAGTAAGTTTTCGAGCTTACAATTTTCTGTTGGAAAAACAAACTAACCGTTCTTGCAATTGCTTCTATTTGAAGATACAGGTCCGAATGCATCTGAAGTCCCCGTATGCTTACTTTCATTGAACTGAAGACAGTTTTTTCCAATAGATAGTGTTGGTTCAGATACGCTACTAGTTTGTAAGTTTGTTGAATTTTCTTCCACCCTAGAGCGAAATATGTGCACCTTCAGCATAAGTTCATCAGTCTGAAGGTCCTTGATCAACTCAAAGACACAAACATCTCCTACCAATAAACCATTATCCCTAACAAATTTAAACCATCCCCCACTTAAAAACAGCTGCATTCTCCTCCTATTGCAACGAGCTTTCCACTTATTTCCAGCAGAATCTTGAAGTTCAATTAGTTCTGACGTCTTTGGCATATACTCTCGGACAAAATCAGCTGGTATATTCTGCAGATTATGACAAGTCACTAAGTATGTGTCAAGAAGAATGCGAGATTAATATACGTAAGTTTGAACATATTGAGATACAAAGCAGTTCACAGCGAAAAAAATGACACTTTTAGTTTAATCTATAGGCACAAAGGCTCACCAGAATACAGTTTCGTACTATGTTATATTCTACAAGAATCTGCATGAAGTAAGGATTTTCCGGCTTGAACATTTTGGCGGCAATAATGGCCGTGTTCATTTCTGTTGCTTTTGCTCGTCCTATTTTGTGAGGCCTTCCACGCCCAACAGGTTTCTCCCATTGCTGGCCTGTGAATGATTTTCTTGTATCTGCAATTTATCAAATTAGCTCTCAATATCATGCGAATGAGTTTTTGAGCTTACAATTTTCTGTTGGTAAAATAAATTAACCAGTCTTGCAATTGGTTCTATTTGAAGATATTGGTCTGAAAGTATCTGAACTCTCTGTATACTTACTTTCATTCAACTGAAGTATATCGTTTTTATTTCCCTCTTGTGCATTGTTTGGATTAGCCACACCTCCAGTTACAGCTGAAGAATATATAGGAGTATCCATATTCTGCTGAACTAATTTGCCCATGAGTGGCTTCGTTAAATTGCTATCGCCCGAAATGTTTAAATTCTTTTCATTTGACACCTGTCCCTCGTCATGCAATTTGTTTGATCTGAACTCTTCCCAATGCCGAAATTTACTCCTTCCGGATGCAATTTTATGTCTTTTGGCTCCAGATGACTTAGCTGAACTCTCTGGTCCTTGCTCGGTTACCAAGGGATCCACAATTTCAACAGAGCTCTCGTCATCTTTATCATCACCAACATAGCAGATTATTTCCTTCCCGTAAGACAGGCTCTGACTAATGGCACCTAATTTAGCATTACCATGATCCTTACACTGATAATCAATCTCAGTAGCGTTGAGGTCAAATATGTGAACATCAAAATGCGAGTTCTTCCCATATTTGAAGAGTAAAAAGTACCAGCACCCGATAGAATAATGTTCCATAAATTCTCGCCAACCATCATGAAGCCAAATCATTTTACCAGCCTTCTTCACACTCACGCCCCAAAAATCATCAGTCGGAACAATAAGCTTGACAGTGTCAAGGAGTTCATCTCCATGTTCCTGGACAAAGGGATCTGGCATGCGCTGCACACAGAAATAATAACAAACATAGATTTGTATAAGGTCAGAAAAGAATGAAGTAGTAACAACTTATGGCACAAAATGGTGGTGTAGCAATTGTAATCTTAATTAGAAATATACAATAGAAAACTCATACATCAGATTTTTCTCAGTTTCAAACAGAGCGTTTATCCACCAGCAAGCTGAAAAAACGTTCTTACCAGAAAAGGAGACGAGAGACTAGAAGAGCAATGACTGAAAATCCCGAGGATATAAAAATTTGAGTGCAACAGTGTAATGAAAAGCCAAAGAATAGCAGATTTTCTATAGATACTGAAGTATCAATATATGAAACGATGCCACGAGTATCTCTAGTTTTTGGTTCTTTATGAACTATAGATTATCCATCTTTTCTTTGCCGAAAAAAGGTCGAAGTACGCAATTCAATATAACTTAAGGAAAGGTCGAACAACTCCTTGAAGAAGTACTGACAATGTTACTTGCAGCATCAAACTCTGTCACTAGAATGACATTTTGTACATAAAATCTTCATCATTGCGAAAATAAACAAATCCCTTTGTGCAGTGTCATGTAAAATGTAAGAAGAAAATTCAAAACGTCCAATGACATATGCTAGACGATCGTTACAGAGGCAATCTTAGAGAAAGGATGACAGCGATGATACAGAGCGGTCAGTGCTCACGCTCATACATGTTATCTGACCCTTCTACGTGATAACACGAGTGACTCAAACTATCATAAAAGAGAATTTCTTCAACCACGGTTTCATGGTAAGATTTGCTTAGGGGTCATAAAAACTAGAAAAGTTATTTTTGGGTTATTCTCTACATAGCCTAATCAGCTTGCTTTTTCAGGCACCAAATTACAAAATTTCCATCAATGACTATACTCTTAAGTTGTCACAACCTAATAGAAAATAAGAAAAGAAAAAATTGGAAAAATATAAATCAAGGAACATTTCTGAGATCGGAGCCAGCAAAATATAGGAGTTCAGACATGTTTCCACTCGTTCCCGAACTTTTACCTTCATTTACACTATTGAATAAGGCAAAAAGGGATGACCAATTGAACATCATCAATTCTCATTTAGGTGTAGGACATCAATTCAAGAACCAGGATATATACACTGCAAAAGCTGAAGATTTTATGCATGAAGGTCTTTTATATAACATTGTCAGAGTAAACACAACCTTAGTCCTCCTAGAATCAGATGTGCACATCGCCATATCGAATTTAAAATGCAACAGTGAAATAGCTTATGAATCACCATGATAAATGATAATATAACCATCCATCATCCCATAGGATCATTGTTTCACTTATGTACACAAAGTGAAAATATTTCGCTATTTCTAATTAGAATCATTGCAATGTATGTGCAGCCAATGCATATGCACTTATTATTTTTGGTTGACCTCATATATAGTTGAAGTATATATTTATGTTGTGTTCCTACTGATTGTGCACCCACTAACTTCTTACTTTCAAATTTTGGATCCACCTTTGAGAATCATTGGCTTACATGTGGAGTATAGTAGTTTCAAACCATCTAAAGATTCTACCGATAAAGACACGCAACCTAAACTAGAAATCAAGATTCTAAGCTAATCATATCGACAAGAGGAGTTGCTCCGATGGTCAGCACCTCCCACCTACAACCCAAGGATTGTGGGTTCGAGTCACCAAAGTAGCGATAGCTCCAACAAAGGGGAGGGGAATAATTTTTTTTTAAAAATAAATAAAAAAATTAAAAATCGTATCGGGATTGTTCATGGGTTTTCAAGAAACGTCCTTTTGTTCATATATTAGTTAATGAGTTCAACTTCAATGCACTAAAATCTTAAATTTTTACTACGATTAGCTCACCTAAAAGATAACAACTTGTAATTGTCCATGATAAATGAAACTAGCAACTAGTATAATAAGACGCTCAACTAACCTGCTACTACAACAAAAATTAAATTACACTATGTATATAACTTAAATCCTTTTGTTTATTTGATTGAATAATTGAGGGTTTGAGTGGCAAATTAAAGGGGGCGGAGTAGTGCTATTGAGTAAGAACTTACAAGTTGGCCGTCATCAATGACGGAAGGCTCGACGATCACGTAGAAACTGGCGGACGAGTAGGAGTAGGTTCTGGGTTCCATCCTCACGGCGTTTGCACTAATTAACGATTTTCCGGTTGAGAAATTGGCAGAGAAAAGAGCATTGACCATGCAGGCAAGTGTCATAACTGTTGGGAAAAATAATAATCCCTCCACACAAATAATATCAAATAATAATAACACAATAGAGTAACAAGGATATTAACTCTTTTAACGAGATAAATACAATATTCGAACGGAGCAATATTAACACTATGATATTACAACTTAGTAGTGTCAAGAGACGACTACAATCTTAAAAGAAACAACACTCTTTATTTAAAATACCTCGCTACAATATTACTGACACTTACTATTTATCTCACAGACTACAATCTGTGTATTAATGTCTCTATTGCTTCTCTTTGTTTTGGTGTGTTTTAAACTGAAACAAAACACTTCCTTTTATAGGCAAAGTTGCCTCCAAACCAACTAATTAGATTGGCTCATTCAACAATTCAGCCACCCACTTGCTTTCTGCGACTTTTTTCAATCCTTTTCTTTATTTCCTTTATGGGTCCAACAAATCTTTCCCTTAATTTTGAATTTTTTTGGTTGCGTCAAGCGTTGATCTCAACCTCTGAAAATCTTCGAACTTGAGAGGCTTTGTGAAGATATCTGCAGCCTGGCCATGAGACTTCACATATTTCAGTTCGACTTCCTTCTTGACAATGTATTCTGTGATGAAGTGATACCTTGTATCTATATGCTTACTTCGATCATGATACACTGGATTCTTGGCAAGTGCCTGTGTGGATTTGTTGTCAATACAAATCTCTATAGCTTCAATTTGTGGCAAATTGAGCTCCTTCAATAATCTTCTCAGCCAAGTAGCATGACACGTACAAGATGTTGCTACTACATATTCAGCTTCACAAGTCGAGAGAGTAACAATTGATTGTTTCTTTGAACTCCAAGAAATAACAAAATCACCCAAGAAAAACACAAATCAGTTGTGCTTTTTCTATCATCAATATCTCCTGCATAATCACTATCACAAAATCCCATAAGGTGTAAATCACTAGAGCAAGAATAAAATAGCCCAAAGTTAATCGTAGCTTTTAGGTAACGAAGAATTCTTCTAGTGACTTTCAAATGGGTGCACGTGAAGGAAGGAGATTCCATGAAGTGGCTTACTACTCCAACTGCAAAGAGTATATATGTCCTCGTACAAGTCAAGTACCTCAAACTTCCCACAAGACTTTTGAAAAATGTGAATTTCATCAAACTTGGACAATTTTGTCCCACTCTCCATCGATGTGTTCACGGGGTTGCAATCGAGCATGTTGAACTTCTTCAATATCTCTTTTGTATAGGTTTCTTGAGAGATACAAATTTCATCATCTATCTGCTTCACTTCTAGGCCCAGGTAGTATGACATGAGCCCTAGCCCCTACGTATGTCATCTCAAATTCACGGGACATATCTTTCTTAAAAGCTTCAAATAAACTTGAGTTATTACCCGTGAAAATAAGATCATCAACATAAAGACAAACAAGCAAGATATCTCCATTAGTATGAACTTTAAGGTAAAGAGCATATTCATAGAGACAACGAGTACACCCATTATCTTGAAAATACTTGTCGATGCAACTATTCCATGCTCGTGGGGCTTGCTTTAATCCATATAAAGCTTTTTTCAACCACAACACTTTATCTTCATGGTTTTTGACCACGAAGCCCAATGGTTATTCAACATAGACTTCTTCTTCAAGATAGCCATTCAAAAAAGCTGACTTGACGTCTAGTTAACGGATCTTCCACTTCATTTGCGCCGCCAAAGAGATTAGCAAATGAATCGTCTCCATGCGGGCAACATGTGCATAGACCTCTTCATAGTCAATGCCTTGCCTTTGCTTGTGTCCTTTAGCCATAAGTCGTGCCTTATATTTCTCCACATCTCCATCAGCATTCTTCTTTGTCTTGTATACCCATTTTACTCCAATTGCGCGATGGCCCTTGGGAAGTGTTGTTAACTCCCAAGTGTTGTTCTTCTCTATTGACTCGATCTCCTCCTCCATGACTTGTCTCCAACTTTTGTATGTAACAACTTTATCAAAGTTCATTGGTTCACTATCAGCAAAGAGACAATATAAAAAATTAAAATTAGTAACTTCTTCCGTGCCATCATAAAGCTCTTGAATATTCCTTGTCATTTGCGGTTGCTCATTTGAATTTTGTTGAAAGGAAGGATATGCAACATTGGTTGGAGAAGGAGGTGGAGTAATATCCTGCACAAGTTCCACGGTCTCTAAGGTGGAGTCTTCTTCATCGTCAAAGTATGGAAGAAAATCATATGAAGTTTCTTCCTGAGCTTCCCAATTCCATGCCAATTCTTCATCAAATTCAACATCACGACTCACCACCATCTTGCCGCTACTTGGGTTGTATAGCTTGTAGCCTTTTGAACTCGTATCATAGCCAACAAACACATACTTGACACTTCGATCTTCAAGCTTCGCTCTCCCTTGATGTGGCATATGAGCATAGGCTACGCTCCCAAAGATTCTCAAGTTTTTGACACTTGACTTTCTTCCACTCCATGCTTATTGAAGGGTTTGATCTCTAATAATCTTTGTTGGAGACCTGTTGTTCAAATAAACTGCCCAAGATACAACTTCTGCCCAAAATTCCTTGGGCATATTTTAAGTTTTTAACATACATCTAGCCATAATAAGAATCGTTCGATTCTTTCTCTCTGCAATTTCATTTTGTTGGGGTGAATAAAGTACCATTAGATGGCGACAAATTCCATGATATTGACAAAAGTCATTAAATTCTTTTGAAGTGAATTCACCTCCTCTATCGGACCTTAAAGCTTTTATTTCATAGCCACTTTCTTTTTCTACAAGAACTTTAAAATTTTTAAAAGCAGCAAAAGCTTCAGATTTTTGGTTCAAGAAATAAACCGAAGTCTTTCTACTAAAGTCATCAATGAAGAGTATAAAATATTTACTTTTACCAAAGGAAGGCGGATTGATTGGCCCACACACATCAGTGCGAACAAGTTGGAGCGGTTTGGTAGATCTTGACATGGCATCCTTTGAAAAACTCCTCCTTGCATGTTTTCCAAGAAGACAAGCTTCACACAATTGATTGGGATGGTTGATTGATGGTATACCATGCACTATGTTCTTTTCTCCCATTGATTTGAGCGCTTCAAAATTTAGTGCCCAAATTGCATGTGCCAACACCATGATTCATTTTGCACATTAGCCTTCAAACACTTTGCATCAATTATTTTAAGATTCAGAGAAAATAATCTACAACAACAACAATAACATACCCAATATTATCCTACATCATTGGGTCTGGGAGGGTAGTGTGTACGCATACCTTACCCCTACATTGTGAGGATAGAGAGACTATTTTCAATAGATCCTCGGCTCAGGAAAGCATAAGCACCACAATAATAAAAATATAGACAAGAAGGGTCAAAGAAAATAATCTATTCTTTGCCATATGCACTTTAGCAATTAGAATTCTACCTGAATCTCTAAGACACAAATGCATATTTTTCATGTGAATATCATATTCCTTTTCAAGAAGTTGGCCCAAACTCAAAATATTATTTTTTTAATTTTGGCACATAATAAGCATCTTGAATTAGCTTGTGACTACCATCTTTATAGGAGATCAGAATCGTACATATTCCCTTGATTTGAATCTTTGAGGTATCTCCAAAGGACACATTACCTCTCACCGTTTTATTGATCTCCACAAACTTCTTTTTGCATTCACACATATGATTGCTTGCTCCATTGTCCAAATACCACGAGTTGCAATCATCCATGTTTTCTTCCTTGAGTGCCATCAACAACGTTGACTCATATTCTTCTTTCTTGTCGTCAACAAAGTTAGCTTTTTCTTCAAAATTGCTATGACATTCCCAAGAGTAATGACCAAATTTATGACAACTATAACACTAAATTTTTAATTTGTCATACATTTGTCCATTATTTTCTTGGTAGTAGCCACGTTCTCTTCCTCCTCTATGTCCACGACCACGACCTCTGAATGTCTGGTGGATTTTAATTTCATTGTTGAAGTTGTTACCGTTACTTGTTCCTCTTCCATGACTGCCACGAGGTCGTCCCCGTCGATTCCCTCGATAGCGCTTTTCACCTCCATAATCCTTGTAAGGATGCTTGAGTTTTAAGAAATTGCTCCAATGGAACTTCTTGTCTCCTTTTGATCTTTTCTTCGTGGGCCTGTAAAGAGCCCTCCAACTGCACTACCATCATAGAGTCTAAATCTTTAGATTCCTTAATAGCATACACCACAAAATTAAATTTAAGTGTTAAAATGTGAAGGATATTTTTTACCACATGAACATCTTCTATATCCTCCCCATATCTTCTTAGTTAATTTACAACAACCTTCACTTTTGAACAATAATCAAAATGCATTCGGATTCTTTCATTTTTAAAACTTCAAAATCAGCCCTTAGAGTTTGAAGTTTTACCTTCCTCCTTGAAGAAAATTTTGTAAAATCCCTCAAGCTTCCTTTGAGGTGGTAGCATCTGCCACCTTCTCAAACATGGTATCATCCAAATATTGGTGGATGAGCGTGAGGGCTTGTTGATCCTTCTTCCTCGTCTTTGCCATGACCTCCTTTTCATTTTGAGGCAGAGCTTCCTCATGGCTCTGATACCACGTTGTTGGAAAAAATAATAATCCCGCCCAGAAATAATATGCGCGAATAATAATAATAACACAAGAGAGTAACAACGACACCAACTCTTTTAACGAGGTAAATACAATACCCGAGCGGAGCAATATTACCACTATTATATTACAACTTAGTAATGTCAAGAGACTACTACAATCTTGAAAGAAATAATACTCGTTATTTAAAATACCTCACTACAATATTACTGACACTCACTATTTATCTCACAGACTACAATCTGTGGATTACTGTCTCTAACTTCTATTGTTTCCCTTTATTTTGATGTATTTTAAACTGAAACGAAATACTTTCTTTTATTGGCAAAGTTGCCTTTAAACCAACCAATCAGATTGGCTGCAAATTGTTCAGCCGCCCAATTGCTTTTTGCAACTTTTTTCAATCCTTTTCTTTATTTCCTTTATGAGCCCCCACAATAACTTTATTGTAGGGTAGCAGAATTTTCGGCTTCATAGAATATGTTTCTCATAAATAACAAAAAAATATTTTAAATACTTATGACATTAATGTTATTTAAGAAATTACATAATCTTTCTTTGACTAAGAGTTATTTTTTTTCAAGTCTTTAAAATTAAGATAACACTTACCTGGGATTGTCTTAGACCCCTGCATTTGTTTGAAATGAGATTAATACTAGCTTTTGAGCTAATGTGGATGAATGCGCGTGAAAGCCGCAAAATTTTATTTTTTTTCCTTCTTTTTCTTCTTTTCTTTTATTCTCTTTCTTGTTTACTTCTCCCTTATTACTCCATCCGCCATTTTCACACCCCCCCAGCTAGCTTCTTCCATTTTCTTTTATTTTTTTCTTTTTTCTACCTTTTTTTCTATTCTTTTTTTTTTTTGTAATGCTTTTACTTTTTCCTTTTTTTTTTCTTTTCCTTTTTTTATTTTTACATTTGTCTTCTTCCTTGTAGTATTTCGGAGAATAAGTTAATGATTTTAGCGAGAAGCCAAACCTTTACAATTATGTTTTTTCCTTTTCATTTTACTTCTTTTTTTCTCATCTATATTTTTATTTTCTTTTTTCTTTATTTCCCTTTTTCTTTCTTTTTCCCGTTTTTTTCTTTACAATATTTCTCACCGGGAAAAATGGTGATTCCGGCGACATCATCTTTCTGCCAAGTTATCTCTACCATTTATTGTCCTGTTTTTTTTTTTTTTTTATAAATTTAGAAGATTAGTTTTACGCTATTCAAAAGGCCTCACAACTTTATCATGTCTATTATCTCCGGCAATCTTTTGATTTAATATAAGAGTTTTTCGGTGGGTGATGTAGGATGGTCGGCAATGAGGAGAAAAGGGGGAAGGGGGGTGTTATGGGTACAAGAGGGATCAGAAATGGTGAAGAAAGAGATATAGAGAGAAAAATGTAAAAGAAAAAGAATAAAATAAGATTAAAAAGACAAATAGAAAGGTAAACTCAAAAAAATCAAAACAAAATAAATTTGACATGCAAAGATTAGCTCACTAATTTCAATTATTGTGTAAGTATGTGAGACACCCTTTTTGATTAACTTAAGGCTCACTGATTAAGAATGATTAGGGGTTGTCTCGGTCAAATTAGAAATAAAAAAAGTTTGGGGTAAAATTTAAAATACTAAAAAATAAAAAAACCCATCTTCTAATCTAACTTGTCTCTTTCTTCCCTTTTCAAAACAAGACACGATTATCCCCTAAACTTTTTCAACTTTTCTCTCAAATTCAATCTCCAAAATCAAGAGTACTATATGGCTCCAAAAATCGGCTCCATTCCATTTAAATTTGATTTGGAGTTGAGATTCCATCATCAAGGTAAGTTTTTTTTCTTTTTTCTACCATATTAATAAATCCTAAACTTGTTATTTCAATCCTAAAATAATTTTTTGAGTGTTTTTGTATCCTCTGGTTGTTTTGTATTTTTTTGTGCCTAAATTCTAGAGTTGTTGTGTAGTTGATATTTTTGATCGAAAATTTGATATTTTTATGTTGTTTAATTGTAGTCGTTGATGTGGTTATTCCACATGCCCATAAAATTAGTTGTTGTGATGTTGAAACAGCTATATTACTCTATTTTGGGGAACACTTTTTTGCCGAGATGTTTCAAACATGTGAGTTGAGTGTTTGAAATATCTTAAGATATTGCTAAATATTCGTGTTGTTATTGTTATTATTGTTGTATGTTGTAAAGTTATTGCAATATTTATTTGGGTTTGGTTCATGATATTTTGAGCTGAGTGTTTAAAACATCTCATTAAGATGTTCGAAATATCTATAAGGATATTTAACAATCCCTGAGATGTTTCATCAAAAGATACTTGATTATCACAATGAGATGGTTGATTATTTTAACGATTAAGAAAATTATTGATAAAGACATATAGATAAAGAAGTTTGGAGAACTATAATATGAACATTGTTAGCTTGCTTTCAAACTCCATCTAACTAGCTAGAAACTTAAATTACTATATCTTGCTTAGCATTTGTAGATGACAGAAAATTGATTTTGCCTCTTAAGCTCAATCTTGTAGACCAACTTCCACAATTCAGCACCTTTAGAGATGTTTGAAATATCTCTGTAAGATGTTTCAAATATCTTGTTGAGATGTTTGAAACATCTTATATGAGGCTTCAAACATCTCAATGAGATATTTTACCAAAAAATACTTGAATACTTATTGTTTTATGTTTTTATGTGTTAGGAACAAATTATTTATTTATTTTATTGATGGTCGTTACTTGTTTGTGTGTGCAGATAAAATAAAAAAGGAATGTGTGTCAAAGACAGGTGGAAGAGGAAGAGATAAATCTTTTTCCAAAAGATCTAGCAAAAGAATTAAGACATGTCAAGAGGATGAACTACAAAAATTAATTATAGTTGAAGTGGAAGCCAAACCTTTTCAGGTAGTAGTAGGAGGAAATGTTGGAGAAGAAGAAAAAGAGAAAGAAAATGAAGAGGAAATTGAGAAAGAGAATAAAGAGGAAACATGGAATGTACTACGAGGGAATGCTAGAGAAGAAGAAACAGAGAAAGAAAAAGAAGAGGAAACAGAAAAGGAAGAAGAAGAGGAAACAAGGAAAGTAAGAGAACAAAAGGCAAATGTTGATCTTCCGCGAGATGACACATATTGATTAAACGTCAACCTATTGATTAACCTAAGAATACTTCAACATAATGATCTTGTAGATTTAACGACAATGATAGGTGTTTGAAACAACAACGTTAGATGTTTCAAACATCATTGCATATGGAGCATATATTTAATTTCCTTTTTTGTACTATGAGGGAATCCTATAAATTTAATTACCCCAGCAAGTGTCCATGTTATAACTTTAATGCAGGGTAGTAGAATTTTTGGCTTCGTAGAATATATTTTCCATAAATAACAAAAAATTATTCTAAATACTTATGACACTAATGTTATTTAGAAAATTACATAATTTTTCTTTGACTAAGAGGTATTTTTTTTAAGTCTTTAAAATTAGGCCAAATACCTAGACAATTCCTTAAACTTGGCTCCAATTTCAATTTAGACAGTTCAACTAGGGCCAGTACTTATTAAACGCTTCAACTTCATCCCATATGTGCCCATTAAACACACATTTGACAACTATAAACTTACATAAATGCGTGGATGCTACTTGTTGGTCACCCTGCTAATAAGACCAATAAGAAAATAACAAGTCAGCAAAATAAAAACAGAGACAAACATTATTTTTTCTCCCAGCAACCCCCCCGCCCGTCTTCTTCTCTTATCTCTCTCCACCTTTTGTCATCTTCTTTCTCCCAAAAAAGTATCATATCAAATACTTCACAGTCAACTAACTAATATATTAAGATTTCACTTCACTTATTATCCCCCAATTTCTAAAGTCCTCCATTTCTTCTGCAATCCATCTTTAATGTCTACCTAATTTCATGACCAGCAAAAATAACAAAAAAAATTCACAACCTACTATATTCACTGTTGTGACACCACCGCAAGTTGATAAACATTTGATTATTTTTTCTTTAAGGAGAAAACGAGAAAATATTGAAAGATAAATCTATTTTTTTTCGTTTCTAGTCAATCGATCTTATTGGAAGAATAATGGTTGGCTTGACTTTGTCGGCCAATATTGTTTTGGAGCTTCCAAGTTTTTTTCGATTTCGTCAGGACTGCAGTGATTTACGAAATTATGCCTCATCACTTTTGAAATTGCTTGATTTAGATGTGAAGAATCCATTTTGATTTATTAGTAGGTGAAATTATTGGTTTTTTTTGCTGGGTTTCTCTCTGTTTTATTTAATATTGTGGTGGCTTTGCCTCTAATTTCTGGGATAAATCACGTTAATTTTAAAAATTCTCAGATTCTCAAATTCTAGCATTTTGAACTTTAAAATCTTTTATCTTTGAACTATGGTGAGTGGTGGTAGAATGTGGTGAGGAAGAAGATGGTATTTTTTTTAATAGGATGTCACATGTTTGTAGCTGATCGATCTTTGGGGAATGATGGAGAATGGTGGCGGTAATGGATAAAGAGTGGCGATGGTCTAATGGTTACACGGTGAGTGTTGGTGGCTGTTGTATAAGTGGGGGAAAAGAAATATTTTGAAACAAATAAAAAAAAAAGAAAAAGAAATGATGAACATTATTTCACGCGCCTAATTTAGGTGCAACTCACACAAATATTCCATGTCAACATTTGTGTTTAATAGATACACTTTTGTTTGAGTTACAGTGTTTAATAGGTACTGTCGTTAGTTGAAGTGTCTAAATGGAAACTGAGATCAAGTTTAATGGGTTGTATAGGTATTTGGCCTTAAAATTAAGATAACGCTTACCCTGGGATTGTCCTACTTTACCAGTTGCACCATCATACTTTGTAGGGATTGCATTTGTTTGAAATGAGATTAATACCAGATTTTGAGCTGATGTGGATGAATGCGCGTGAAAGCCCTAAAATTTCATTTTTTTTTTTTTTATTTATTCTCTTTCTTGTTTACTTCTCCCTTATTACTCCATCCACCATTTTCACACACCCCAGCTAGCTTCTTCCATTTTCTTTTATTTTTTTCTTTTTTCTACCCTTTTCTATTCTTTCTTTATTAATGCCTTAACTTTTTTCTTTTTTTTCTTTCTTTTCTTTTTTTATTTTCATATTTGTCTTCTTCCTTGTAGTATTTCGGAGGATAAGTTAATGATTCTCGTGAGAAGCAAATTTTGTTTTACAATTATATTTTTTTCCTTTTCATTTTACTTCTTTTTTTTTTCATCTATATTTTTATTTTCTTTTTTCTTTTTTCTTTATTTCCTTTCTTATTTCTTTTTCCCATTTTTTTTTACAATATTTCTTACCGGAAAAAATGATGATTCCGGCGATATCATCTTTCTGCCAAGTTATCTCCACCATTTATTTTACCGTTTTCTGTAAATTTTGAAGATTATTTTTACGCTATTCAAAAGGCCTCACAATTTTATTGTGTCTATTATCTTTGACAGCCTTTTGATTTAATATAAGAGTTTTTCGGTTGGTGATGCAAGGTGGTCGGCAACGAGGAGCAGAAGGGGGGAGAGGGGAGGTTATGGGTACAAGAGGGATCAGAAATGGTGAAGAAAGAGATATAGAGAAAAAAATATTAAAAAAAAAAGAATAAAATAAGATTAAAAAAATAAATAAAAAGGTAAACTGAAAAAAACAAAAAAAAAATGAATTTGACATGTGGCATGCAAAGATTGGGGCATGATTTGCACTTTTTCTTTTGAAACTGGGATGACTTGGAAAGGTGGTACTTATTACAATTCTAACAGGCACTCACAACGTATAATGGTACAACTGCTAAAGTGAAACAATTTGAGGGGGTAATTATGTATTATCTCCATAATTATACATATATAATATATAAGTTCTGCATATATTATATCTCCATCGATTATTTTTAGTTTAAATGGTTGAGTGTGCAGCTATTTGGGTTCAATTTTAAATATGTACTAGGAGTATATGTTAGAATCTCTGTTTTAAAAGGCGTTTCTGGGGCGAGTCCCGGGGCGAGACGTACCAAAAATGCCCCGGGGCGATGGTGTGGGGCGAAAGTCTCAAGAGGCGTCCGCCCCGCAATTTGGGGCGTACGCCCGGGCGTTCGGGGCACGTTTTTTTAGTAAGGAGTAAGCCCCTTCATATAATACCCAGATTCTCAAAAGTTAGTTTGGTAATTACTCAAAAGGTTTAAAAAGGAACTCAAAAGTAAAGACCTTTTTTTTTTTTTTTATTGATTTAAGCCCTAATTCTTGGGTTTTCCAATTTTTTATCTTGTCCGCTAGTCTGCTAATATCTCCCAAAAGCAACGAATATTTTTTTTTACAAATACAAAAAGAACTACATTCTTCTTCATAGCAGCAAATTCAAAGTTCAAATTGCAGGTTAATCATCCTTTTTGTTCCTCCATATAGAAAACTTTATTCTTTGACTCAAATTACTTGTGCTTGTAAGTAACGTATAATAAATTGTTTTGATTAGTTTTTTGTGGGGATGGAGCACATATATATATATAGTTTTCTTCAATATTTATGCAATTTTACCTGTTTATAAATATTTACTGTCATTATATTATTTTATAAAATATTAAAAACTAAATACCTATGGGGCTTACGCCCCGCTGAGTCATATGTAAAACGTCTCGCCTTACGCCCACGCCTTTTAAAACACTGGTTAGAATTAAGATATTAATTGTTGAATTGTCACCAAAAAATAAAAATGCAAATACTATATCATAAGCAAAAATAATTGATATTCTAGCCTAGAATGTCTGAATCCGCCATTTTTTAAGGGATGGAGGAAATAAAAGCTAACAATGCTTTAATTTGAAATTATAAGCTTTTTATATTGATTTATTTGCTCATTACAATGAATAAATGCTTGGATATGAAAAAACTTTCTAACTCATAGAATTTCTAAAACATGGGTACCCCACCAAAGAAAGGAAGAAAAAATTGCAAGTGAGAGTTAATCCATGTTCATTTGGGTAAATAACTCAATATTGAACCAGGTGCACTATTGAGCCTTTGTGGAGTATGTGTGCCAACAGATAATATTAGACTAATATTTAAAAATACATATATAAAATAATAATTTGGCGGAAAAATCATGAGTTAATGTGCCCCATAAACCACCCAATAAATTTTTCCCTCTATTTATACCAATTCAATAAAAATATAAGACAATTGCTTATGTTGATTAACACAAATGCTGCTAGAAACATGTCTTCAAAAACCATATCCAAACATGTAATTCTTACATATTAATATTAAAGAAAAAGGAAAAACTAGGAGAAAGTCTTATAAATTCAGTCCACAAGATTTTTTTTTTTGGATATAGGAATCATCTCTCTAATCCATTCTTATTGAAAATGCGTACATGGAATGTGATGTTCCCATCATATTGAAAAAGTAGGAAATCACCTTCCTCCAATTGTTGCTCTCTTGCAAATTTGTTCCACCCACCTGCATTGAAGAATAGCCCTTCTTCATCCTCTCTTAATTTCATGTTCCAATGTTTGCCAGATGGCCCTTTTAGAATTGTTGTTTCTGTTGCTTCTTCTGTTATATGCTTCACAAATTCTGGTGGAATTCTCTATAACACGGAGGGAAAGATTTTAAGTTTTTTAGATAAAATGGTTCGTACAATTTAATTTATATCAGATCAAACGGAGCTGATCTTGAGTTTGAGTTTCATATATTGCCATCTATTAAAATAAAAATAAAAAAATAATAATAAATATATATATATATATATATATATATATTTGCACGCGCTCCATCCTAGAGAAATAATCAGGTCGCACGTGGTAGATCTAAAATTGATATATCTCTATGTGCTAAATCTAAAATCAATAAATAAAAGTATTTACTCATAGCAATTTAAGTTGAATTCAAGTGTCACCTGCGCCCATGAGTAAGATCAAACAAGCACGTGAGAAGCATGTTGTATAAACGAAAGTGTTTACTCTCTAACGGCTTAAATTTATGAGTAAAATTTGTAGATCTGAAATAAATAAATAAAGTCAAATTTGTGAGGTTTTGGACTTAAACAAGATTTTAAAGCTCTTAATCAACCAGATCTCTTAAAATCAAGTAATATATGTAAGACGAAAAGAAGATTTAATAGCAAGTACTCTGTATTAAAGGATCCAAATTTACCAGTTCTTCAACGCGAGGATCGAAAATAACCTTGTAAAAGCAAGGGCTATCATCTCTAGGAATGCTACTGCTACTACTTTTTCTCACCATTTCCTCTGCCAGTTTTTAATTCTGGTGGGTGAACTTTAAGGTGACAAAGAAC